GGGAGAGAGAAGAATGGGAAATTATTGCTTAAGGGGTGCTGAGGTTCTATTTGGGGTGATGTAAAACTTTTGGAAATAGTGGTGGTGGTTGCACAACATTAAACAAAACAAAACAAAACAAAAACCTTGCTGGCGTAGAATTGATTCTGACTCACAGCGATCCTATAGGACAGAGTAGAAGTGCCCCATAGGGTTTCCAAGGAATGCCTTGGTGGATTTGAACTATTGACCTTTTGGTTAGCAGCTGAGCTCTTAGCCACTGTGCCACCAGGGCTCCTGCAAAATATTGTGAATATAATTAACAACACTAACGTCAACACTGAAATGGCAATTTTTTTTTGCTATATATATTTTACCCCAATTAAAAAAATTTTTTAAAGCCTGCTGAGTTTAAAAACCATCACCTTCTACCACAACCTAACAACCATTAGTCCATCTTTTACTTGAAACACTGTAGTAACTGATGACAACCAAGGCAGATGATATGTGAAGGCTCAAATCTAACTTTCACTCATATCCTACGCTCTTGACACACCGACAACACCAAACTGCTAGACTAATTACCCCGTTTCAGTACTTCTGTAGTAATTATCAAGACAACCTTGTGGCTTCATATGTATTTTGTTTTGTAAATGCTGTTCCTTCTACAGCTCTTACTTATCCAGATTCCAGGGCAAGTTCCTATTCAGCCTTTAAAATCCAGATCAAATACAAACCCCTCTATAACTCCTTCCATGCATCTTCCCCTAGGAGTTAATCACTCACTCCAGCAGAGTATTTCCTATAGCCTTCCATTATTGCACTTATCACTTACTTAACTACATTATAATGTGTTTCCAAGTCTGGGATTCCAAGGCCCTGAGTCTGGAATACTCTAAGTCCTGCATGCCTAGGACTTAGCACAGTGCCTAGTACACAACAGGGAATCAACAAACAGTTGCTAGATGGAATTCATGATACTGAGGACAGGTAGTATGCTATTCATGCTCGCTCTCCTCCCAAGTCTTCTTTGTTCTAAGCTAAACGGGAGTTAATAATCAGTAAAGCCAGACAGATGCTTATACTTATAAAGAAAGCTAATCAAGTAAGACAGAAATATATTAACATCAATAAATATGCACACACGAATTATCTCATCGACAACTCCTAGTGATAGGACTATGTTGATGTCTATTTCTCTCCTTAGTCTACCTTGCTTTTCTTAATGTGTATCATCTGTTTTGTCAAATTCATTATGTTCTTCTCCTATTCCCTTATCAAGACCCTCTTTCTAATTTGCCTATTATTTATTTATTATGTAATATTTATTTACTATTTATGTATTACCACTCAGAGTCATTTTCTTGAGTTTCTATTCTATTTAGCCAACAAATCTTGTCAACTATTGCCTGTGTTTTCTCCCATGCTGGGTCTTTCTGCTGTATTTCTTTATCTCCTATTCCAGGCTCTTTCGCCTTGATGAATGCGCTATACATAGCTGGACTTCTACGGCCAGGTTTACCCTCATTCTAACCATTCCATGTGCAGCTTAGACAAAAACCAAACCAAACCCACTACTGTCGAGTTGATTCTGATTCACAGCAACCCTCTACGACAGAGTAGAACTGCCCCATAGGGTTTCCAAGGCTGTAAATCTTTACAGAAGCAGACTGCCACATCTTTCTCCCACAGAGCAGGCTGGTGGATTCGAATAGCTGACCTTTCAGTCAGCAGCCAAGCACTTAACCACTGCACCACCAAGTTTCCGGCAGCTTAGACAAACCAGACCTCAGAGACTTGCAGAGTGATCTCTCTTTGTCCATCCACCATGTTACATTCAAACATCTCAACAGTAACCACACCTATCACACCTAATCAAGTTTAGAGCTCATTTTATTCCCACATTAGCACCACTGATCCAAGAACATTAACTCTTTTGTTAAACCAAAGCCCTAAAACTGTTTCTAGATTCTTCTTTTTCCCTCACCCCTAACAACCAACTTTTCACCAAGTCACATTGATTCTAACTTCAAAATATCCTTGAATCCATGCACTTCTCTCCAGCTCTATGTCAACATCCTGGTTCCCACCATCATCGTCTTTCCCCTGGGGCACTGAAACTGCCTTCTTTCTACTCACTCTCCTTTCACTCTTGCCATTCTCCAGGCTTCAAATCAAAGCATGTCACTCTAAGTGCATGATAGCTTCCATCTGCTCTCAGAATAAAATCCAGACTCCTGGCCATGTACCACAGCTCTCTCCATGACCTGGATCCTGTAACTTTCCAACCTAATATCACACCACTACCTCTTTCTATCACTTCAAGGCACCCCTTCTGCTCACAGTGTCCCTGCAAGGTTGTGGTAGAAGATGATGGTTTTTAAACTCAGCAGGCTTTAAAAAAATTTTTTTTTTATTGGGGTAAAATACATATAGCAAAAAAAAAAATTGCCATTTCAATGTTCACTTTAGTGTTGTTAATTATATTCACAATATTTTGCAGGAGCCCTGGTGGCACAGTGGTTAAGAGCTCAGCTGCTAACCAAAAAGTCAACAGTTCAAATCCACCAAAGCATTCCTTGGAAACCCTATGGGCACTTCTACTCTGTCCTATAGGATCGCTGTGAGTCAGAATCAATTCTATGCCAGCTAGGGTTTTTTTTTAAATGTTGTTTCAATTGCTTGAAATGAGCTTCCCCTGGCTCTTCCCATAGCTGATGACTTCTCACCTTTCAGTTTTCAATGCAAAACTATTTCTTCAGACAGACATTCCATGACCATTTTTCTAAAGTTGCCCTTCTTTTCTGCCCACGAAGAGGGCAAGAATTTTATCTTATTCTCCACTGTATCTACAGCACCAAGTATAATTCCTAGCATAAATCATGCTTTCAATATTATTTACTGGATGAACAAAATAACTCATTATGCATATAAGAACACATTTTCTCACTTCCCTGGAAGCAGCAGTCAAGAAATCAAAGGCGTACTGCATTGGGCAAATCTGCTGCAAAAGGCCTCTTTTAAAGTGTTGAAAAGCAAAGACGTCACCCTGAAGACTAAGGTGGGCCTGACTCAAGCCATGGTATTTTTAATCACCTCGTATGCACGCGAGAGCTGGATGATGAATAAGGAAGACAGAGGAAGAACTGACGCCTTTGAATTGTGGTGTTGGCAAAGAATATTGAATATACCATGGACTCCTAAAAGAATGAACAAATCTGTCTTGGAAGAAGTACAACCAGAATGCTCCTTATAAGCAAGGATGGCGAGACTACGTCTCATATACTTTGGACATGTTATCAGGAGGGATCAGTCCCTAGAGAAGGACATCATGCTTGGTAAAGTAGAGGGTCAGTGAAAAAGAGGAAGACCCTCAACGAGATGGGTTGACACAATGGCTGCAGCACTGGGCTCAAGCATAACAATGATTGTGAGGATGATGCAGGATCAAGCAGTGTTTCGTTCTGTTGGACATAGGGTCGCTATAGGTTAGAACAAACTTGATGGCACCTAACAACAACAACATCTTTGCTCATGTGCATCTCCACCCAGAAGGATGTCCTACTTCAATTTTGCCAACCAATGTCCATTATTTATTTCATGATAAAACTTAAGACTCATATCACAAAGAATGCTTTCCAGCTAATTCTTCCTCTCACATTCTTAGTTTTTTCTTCACAACTGTTTATGCTTAATTTACATAATATTTTCACACCCTTCTCTTTTTTCTATAAACATGTTAGACAGATATCATGCCGCACGATCAGAAAACAAATTGTGAACATTTTTCACTGCCATCCTATGGACTTCATACGCCCCAGTGCCTCCAGGAGGTTAACGCTTCCTGAGTAAAAATTTTTAAAACAGCAGAAACATCTTATTCTAAGTTGCAATTCCAAAATAAACATGGGAAGAAGGAATTTTAGTTAGAGAAACTGGTTGCCATGAGTATTTAATGTGGCAGGGGAGGAATTTCTTGGTTAAGATCAGAAAAAGGGGGTAGAATTTTGGTTAAAAGTCAGGGCTAGATGAAATGAAAGGAAATGGGTAAATGAGACAGTCAAAATTCTTTCTATGTAGAACAATGACTAAAAGGCTAACGTTTCTTATAAAATTCTGGTTAATAAAAGATTTATATTTTTAGCTGATATTAACATTTTTAGATCTCTTTAGTGAAATTATAGAGGTGGAGTTTCTAGAGTAGACACATTATTAAAAGGAGGGAAATTTAAATGTACTTCATCCTAAAGATTTCACCATGCCATCTTTAAAAAACATTTTTTTAAATACTGATTTCCCACACAAACTTCACATATTTTTAATATTCTCCCCAATTTATTGATTCATTTTTTAGACAACCTCAATGTGTATATTTTATATTGTTTCCTTCTTCCAGAGGTCCCTGAGTGGTGCAAGTGGTTTGCTCTCAGCTACCAACCGAAAGGCTGGTGATTCCAACCCACCCAGTGGGGCCATAGAAGAAAGCCCTAGGAATCTGTTTCCAAAAAGATTACAGCCAAGAAAACCCTAGGGAGCTCAGCTGTACTGTCTAACACATGGGGTCACTGTGAGTTGGAATTGACTCGATGGCAACAGGTTTGGTTTGGTATTGGGTCTTTCCTTCAGAAAGCCTGTGCCATAATCTCAAAGCCCAATCTGCCTACTGCAGCGGTCAATGCTCAGGCATTTTATTTATATTTGTATGGTAATACAATGTGGTCATTAGGAGTGTGGACTCTAGAGTCAGTAACCCTGAGATTTTATTCCCAATTTCTCCACTTAGTAGCTATAAAACCTTGGGAATGTTATTTAACCTCTCTGTGCCTTAGTTTCTTCATGTGAAAAATGGGAATTTTAGTCTAACTCATAGGTTTGTTTGGACTAAATATGTTAATACATACATAATACTTAATACAGAGCGTAGGGCTCAATAAATGCTAACTATTATCATTCTCACCATTAAGGTAATTTTGTTTGGCCTGTTTCTTTTTCCACCGCGTTCTTTCAGATTCAGTACTCACAGGGTTAGAATGCAGCACGGTGAAGAATTCTGGGCTGATGAGGAACTTCACAGGGGGAGACTGTAACAGCAGTGTGAGCCTGGATCTGGAGGTAGAATGGGGCAGAACGTTCTCCCGTCGGAAATCTGGATGGAACAGACCACAAAGGTATTTAGAAGAATCTTTACACACGGTGGAAATATATCTATTTACTCCAACCTATATCATTTAAAAAGAACCAAAGAATTATCTATATCATTTGCTATTATTTTAATCCTCAAAATAGTTTTTCTTTGGTATAAATTCAGACATAAAACCTAACCGCTCTTGTTGTTGGTGCCATCGAGCTGATTTCGACTCATGGTGATCCCAAGTGACAGAGCAGAACTGCCCCATAGGGCTTTCTAGGTTGTAATTTTTATGGAGCAGATCGCCAGGTCTTCCTCCCATGGAGCAGCTGTGTGGGTTTGAACCATCAACCTATCAGTAGCAGCTGAGCAATTAATGGTTCTTTAGGGCTCCTTAATTATACTAAAATGAAAAGTGAGTAATATTTTTAGTCACTATTAACATTTTAATCCATCCTTATAATTTTTATTTGATGAAGTTCTTTTTCCACTATTCCACACATCCAGAGATTAAAGTAATTTATATTCCATTTGTTTTTGTGATTCTGTCTTAGTACTGATAAAAAGTCAAAGATTAGATGAGGTCTTTGGTAAATTGTGCCTTTGGAGCTGGATTACCAGATCTTACTGAAGATCAAAAGTTCTCTAAAAGAAAAGCCTTCATTTCTTGGAAATCCTTACTTATTTTCTTTCTACTTTCATGAGGTTGGGGTAAAAAAAAAAAAAAAAACAAGCAAAGTAACCCAAAGGTTCTTACCTGCACTGGCTTGGTGAAAGTCGGCTTCCTCCCCTGTCCCATCAAGAGCACTGGTATTTTCCTCAGCCCTCTCATTAGTCATGGTTCTGCGGATACTCTGATATCTAAAATCATGATCCTAGAGTTACATTACAGGAGACACTAAAAGGTGGGACTCAACTTCTCCCCCAGTGCCCACTGCCATCGAGTCGATTCTGACTCATAGCGACCCCATAGGACAGAGGAGAACTTCCCCATAGGGTTTTCAAGGAGTGGCTGGTGGATTCAAACTGCCAACATTTTGGTTAGCAGTCGAGCTCTTAACCACGGACCCACCAGAGCTCCTTCTCCCACAGCCCAGAAGTTTTCACTATCTTCTCAGCCTCACTTGTCTCCTCCTCCCAACACCACACCCCCTGACCTTCTGCGTCTTCTGCTGTCTAGAAAAATACATTGCTTTCAATTTCTTCTTGCCATTGTTTGTGGAACAATTTTTTTATATACTAATAAAACTTAAGAAAATGTTGTGGTCTTTAACCAAAGAAAACTAAATCCCTATATTGTTAAGAATAACTTTATGCTCCATAGCAATTAGTTCTTAAATAAGAGCAACAGATTTAAAAAGCTTAGGCTGATAATAAAGACGCATCACAACCAACTTATAGTGACCCTACAAGACAGAGGAGAACTGCCCTACAGGGTTTCCAAGGAGCGGATGGTGGATTCGAACTGTCAATCTTTTGGTTAGCAGCCAACCTCTTAACCACCGTGCCACCAGGGCCCCAAATGAAGATTCTAGAGATTCTAAAAGCTATCTGGATGCAAATTATGAATGTATATGTTCTGTTTTACTAAAAATCAATGCCTTGGATTGACCACAGGGGTCATCATTACTTATGTTCTCTCCAGTTTCCAAACTGTCTGTGTATGTATGTATTACTTTTTAACCATGAGTAGTCCAATGAAATCTATGAATCAAAAGAGGTTAACAGCTATACCTTAATGACAGGACACCCACAAATGAAAGAGACAACCACGTCTTTGACTTTGTGCCATGTAAAAATCAGCTCAATCATAAAATAGATCAGCAACAGGAAAGTGCCCATCCTTACCGCCGGTTCAACTGCTCCATTTGCTGGATGGAGTTTGATCTCTGAAGCATCTGTGGTGCCGGGGGAGCTGTCGGCCGCTGCCACGTAGTCGTTCTATTTACATGATCCACGTAAAAGATCCTACCATGGCTGTCAATGCGTGCCTCCCAGTCTAAATAGCGATAATGCACCAAGAAGTATTAGGAGGAGGAGCTGAGGCCATTAATGTGGTTCATTAAGTTTAGTACCTGTTTTCTTTGTCTGACATGCTATAATTTGGGCTAACAACATATACCTCACTGCATAATCTCCCAGTCCATTCCAGAATCTTTTGTGACCAGTTATTAAGCATATCCTGTATGTATAAATCAACAACCAACCAGTTAGCTCCAATTCACGGTGACCTAAAGTGTGTGACGAACCCCTTAAAGAATATCTGAATGTACAGATTCCTTCCAAATCCACCACAATGTTCATTCTTCATATATTAGCATCAGTGTTTAAAAAATACAGGTAGTTGGTATCATAATATTTTAATTATATATTTGTATCAAAATTGGTCTTGAGGTTTATTTTCACCAAAAAATTGACTTTTCTCAGTTTTTTTTTCTCCTAGCTTAGATGAAAGACTCATAGCTGGGAATATCCACATGCATATTTATCTACAATCTTAGTAAATTTAGTCTTCAAAATAAAAGTGACTAATTAATGCTAGCTCAGTGATCAAACAGTACCATTATCTACAAACTTCCATTTGCACTTTTCCAAAGATGAAAAGGTTTTCAAAGAAAGGGCAATTTCTTGCCCCCAATCTCAAATAAATACAATGTTGCGAAGAATGATTTATACAGGAAACATATGAAAATGTCCAAGATCTATTCTTTAACCAGGAAGGTTCTTTATAACTTTCTCATTCTTTGTAAATACTTTTTTGAAATTAATTAACACTTTTCTCTTGAGCAGCTCAATTATCTTCAGTTCTCACCATGTGATTGCATGGCTTATCAACAGACAACTGTGAGTCTAACAATAGAGACGAGAAGGAAGGTATGCTTTCTCCTGTTCACCCATGGCATTTGCTCTGTAAGTAAGCTGAGCAAGTATTCCAACAAAGTTCTTAGGGTTGGAAAGACCTGCATGGTAGATACCAGCTTGGACCAGGGATCCTCATAGGTCAGCCAAAGAGACCATCATAGAGGGCTGCCTCAATGGGGAGTGCAAAGGGATCTTTTTGCTGATTTCAGCACGTTGTAATTTATGACAAATGACAAGAGAGAAAAATTAGGCTGAGGAACAGCACTGCACAAACAACAAACAATTCAATGTCACTTATCCTCCAAGGGAACAGACTTACAACGAAACCAGCAAGTCAAATGTGAATTCATTGGGCACATCAGTGAACATTTCTGAAAGACCTCATGCCCAGCCTGTAATATGCTGACAAACAGTAAGTACTTTAAAGCATCTTCCGAAACCACGTTCCAAAATCCTTTGATTTACTTCATTGTTTTCTTCTGCTTCTTGCACACTTTCCTGTTGCCCCTCCCCTGCTGTCCTCCATCCCTCAGATACATCCATCTCATTCCTTTCTCGCTAGAGCTGGGATAAGTCAAGCACATACTACATGTCAAATTAAAGGCATATGAAAACAAATGGCCAATCCTTCCCCCAAGAATGTTTGCAGTAGCTTACAATTTAAAAAATGTAGCATAGGTCAGTTAGGGATAAAAACAGAACAAAGACCAATCAAAGGAAACAAACAGTAGATGCTGCCGAGCTCCAAAGATAAAAGTTGTTGCTAAAATTTGGCTCTAAGTTTTCTGGCAATTAAGGCAGAAAAGAAAACACATTGTTGCAAACTTTCCATTTTCTGACAAAAGAAAATAAAAAGAGAAAAATCTTCAAAGATAGAATTTTTTTCCTGGAACTAACTAAATAATAATTTACCACATGAAATGTTTATGTAGCCTGTATGAGGGTCATTTGGGTAGCAAAATAGAGGGAAAAAATCTCCAAATGTATCAACTATACCCTGCACATAAAAAACAAAAACCCAAAACCCCTATTGATGCTGAGTTGATTCCTACTCCTATCACCCCAAGTGTTAAAGAGCAGAACTGCTCCATAGGGTTTTCTTGGCTGTAATCTTTATGGAAGCAGATCACCAGGCCTTTTTCCATGGTGCCACTGGGTGGGCTTGCCTTGCACATAGTGTGTAATAAATGAACAATTTAAAATGACATAAAACCATAATAACAAATGAATCTTGTATTTACCTCTACAAAAGCCAGGAACAACTTTAATTCATAGTTCAATAAAGACATTTCTATGTGCAATGAGGAGCATAAAAAAAAAGGCCCCAAAATTGGCTTTCTAGCTCTATCAAATATTGTACCTTCAAAATAAGGTTGTTACTGAGTTTACTGTATATAAGTTCCATTAAATAGAAATTCTATATTGCTGGTTTCAAATGGATACTTGACACTGCATCAGGAAAGACTGTTATGCTATTGGCTTACTCATGAACTCACATCCATGCTTACCAAGGTGGTTAGTACCCTTCCATCCAGGAAGAGGCAGTTGAGGTACCTGCAGGAAAGTTAGCCTTCTGTTCTATCTACCAAAGTTACTTAGCAGGGTAAGGAAGGAAGGTACACTTGCTTTAACATCTTATATGTCTTTATACAGGAGTCCCTGGGTAGTGTAAATGGTTCACACGTTTGGCTGCTAACTGAAAGGCTGGAGGTTGAAGTCCACCCAGAAGCGCCTTGGAAGAAAGCCCTGGCAATCTACTTCCAAAATATCGGTCATTTGAAACTCTAAGGAGCACAGTTCTACTCTGACACCCATGGGGTCACATGAGTCACAATCAACTCAATGGCAACTGGTTTGGGCTTTTATATATCTTTATATTGGGCTTTATATTTTAATTAGCCTTGGTGGTGCAGTGGCTAAAGTGCTTGGCTGCCAACCGAAAGGTCGGTGGTTCGAACCCATCAACCATTCTGTTGGAGAAAGATGTGGCAGTCTGCTTCCTTAAAGATTTATAGTCTTGGAAACCCTATGGGGTGGTTCTACTCTGTCCTACAGGGTTACTGTAAGTCAGAATGGCAAAGAGTTTGGTTTTAGTTTTTTATGTTGGGCTTGGTTTATTCTCAATACAAGAAAGCATATGAGAACTCATTTCCCAACATCAAAGTTTCTTTTGGACAATGTTAAAATCAGACAGAACACTGGAATCTTAACATTTACTATCTTATCTTGCCACGTTGTAAAAAGGGTATAGTGAGACCAAAAGCAATGCATTGTGATGTGTGTGTGTGTGTGTGTGTGTGTGTGTGTGTGTGTGTGTGTAGAGTATCAGGTAACAGGCCTGGTTTCTGGCCATGGCTTTGTCACATCTTTGCTACATGACACTGAACAAGTCACTATGCCTCTATGGACCACCATTTCTTCGCCTGAAAAATTAGAGTACAGAGCTAAACATTTGCTTAAGTCTCTTCCAGTTCTAAAATTCTATGAATCTATAGAATGACTGCCACTGAATGCAATAAAAAGGAGGCTCAGCAAGGACCAAGCAACGTCTTGGAAATGTTGTACGTCTAGGCCAGATTTTACAAACTGAACGCTAATTAATTAAGCCTAATAGGGCCAATGGCTTTAGGCACTGAGGAGCAGGGCTCTGGAACTACCTGCCAACCCCACTTCAACCATGGCAGCTCCAATTTTATCCGCTCTGTACACACTGGGCATCCACATAAAATTTCACCTGAATAAAATTTCATGACAATAATGAAATCTGAAAACTACTATCTAGAGAAATGTTTCTCAAGGCGTGGACTCTGACAACACGTGTCAGATTCACTTTGAGGATCAATAAAAATGCTGATTCCTAGTATTCTCCTCAGATCTTCAGAATCAGACTATCCCAGACTAGGACTTAGTTTTCTAGGTTTTTAGCAATCTTCCCAGGTGATTCTTAGACACGTTAAATTTTGAGAAATACTGACACAAGTGAATAAGAACTTAAAACAAGCAGCCTCTTAGAAGCCTTAAGCCTCAATCATAAATAACAATTTCCAAAAAAAAAAAAAGTTTCCATCGAGTAGACTCCAACTCTTAGTAACCCTATGTGTGCCAGAGTGGAACTGTGCTCCACAGGGTTTTCAATGGCTGATTTTCCAAAAGCAGATCCCGAGGCCTTTCTTCAAAGGTGCCTCTGAGTGGACTCTAACCTGCAACCTTTGGGTTAGCCGCACAGCATGTTAACTGTCTGTATCACCCAGGCATTCCCAATTATAAACACCTATTGCCATCGAGTTGATTCCCAATTATAAATTAAAAAAACCAAACCCATTGCCATCGAGTCTATTCCAACTCATAGCGACCCTATAGGACAACACAGAACTGCCCCATAGAGTTTCCAAGGAGTGGCTGGTGGATTCGAACTGCTGACATTTTGGTTAACAGCCAAATGCTTAACCACAGCACCACCAATTATAAATAGGTCCCTTTAAATAGGTGACAAAAAGGGGAGGTCGGAGAGTTATAAAGTAAGCAAAACTACATCAAGACCAATGTCACAGCACAGCGCCTCTAGGCAGAGTAATGGAGGCAGGTAAAAGATCTTGGAAATAACCAAGAGTCTCTTCACCAAAATAGCGAGAGGATGGTGACAGAATGAATAAACATACTTTCAAGGACAAATATGAGCTTTGTGATAGACGCAGTGTTTGAAAGATGATTTTTTAAATTTTATTTTAACATTCAAGTAGGTATGAGTCCATCTGTATAAGTGTATAAAGAAAGTTAAATTAATCTATTATTTGGGGAGTCAGGTCCCCTTCCCCTTCAGGAGTAGAGTGAGTGACTGGAAGGGGACTAAAGAATTCTAGGGTGCTGGTGATGAGGTGCTGTCCTCATGGGTGTGTTCAGTTTGAGAGGATTCAGCAAGCTAAACGTGTTCTTTTCTGTGTTGTTGTTGTTGTATGCCATAGAGTCAATTCCAACTCATAGCAACTCTACAGAACTGAGTAGAATTGCCTCACAGGGTTTCCGAGGCTGTAACTTTGGAAAGGCAGGCTGCCACATCTTTCTCATGTAGAACGGTTGGTGGGTTTGAACTACTGACCTTTCAGTTAGCAGCCAAGGGCTTAACCACTGTGCCATTAG